CGTCATTGCCTCACCATCCACTAACTGTTTTCTTTATATTAATAACACAAATGTTCAATTTTCCCCCTAAAATTGATTTCCTTAACCCAGCATTCACGTTATTTTAATAGTAAAAGACTATGTTTTCGTGTTGATGCATTAATATAGAGTGTTTTTTTTAATTCGGGTAAAATCCTGATTTTTTTTAATTCTAATAAATTATTTTTATGAAAATTTATAATTATATGTATGCAGTATTCCGCATGCATGCAATATGGTACGAATCATATAACTTGGGCAGAACCATGGGGAAATCAAGTTCTTGGGGTTAAAAGGGAAATTAATGGGATAAAAATATGTAAAGCAATTAATATATAGTGAGGCAATGACGTCAAAAACTGATAACATTGTTCAATAGTTTTTCATATTAAAACAAAAAATCACAACTTCCTTATTAGTGATCCGATTTTCATCAAGCTTGTTTTGCTCTGTTTCTTCTGTTTTGAATGCATCTTTTGAAATCACGTTAATTTTGGAGTGGACTTAGCCTTGAACTAAAGTAATATCATAATAATAATAATAATAATAATATATTCATTTGTAAAGCGCAATAACTATGTGGATATATTCTATTGTGCTGCAAGAGCTCGTAAATGCTGTGCTATACATACTATATGAACAAGTGAGTTTTCAGTTTTGATTTAAAATTATCTAGTGATGGGGCTTTCCTTATTTCTAGTGGTAATTTATTCCATAATCTAGGGGCAGCACAGAGAAATGACCGGTCCCCGAGGGTTACTTTGGTTTTATATGGGGGTATTTGCAACATAAATGTGTCTTGTGTACTACGAAGGTTACGACCATGGGTTTGAGACTTGATGTGCAACAATTCAGTAACGTAACTAGGAGTTTGACCATTTAGAGCTTTGTAGACTATCATTAATATTTTAAATGTAATTCTCTGGCGAATTGGCAACCAATGTAGTTCCTTTAGAAGTGGGGTTATTCGAGAGAATTTTGGGAGGCTGCAAATTAGTCGTGCACATGTATTTTGGACCCGCTGCAACTTGGAAATTTGTGAGTCTGGCAATCCATACAATAAACTATTACAGTAATCTAGTTTACTAGTAACACATGCATGCATGATAGTTTTCATGCTGTCCTGATCAAAGTATTTTCGAATGCGTCTCAAATTATAAATCATGAAATAGGCTGATTTGCATATTTTAGTGATATGTGAATCCATATTCAGGTGGGTATCAAAAGACACACCCAAGTTTCTAACAGTATCAGATGGGGTTATGGTTGAGTCACCAACTGATACACTACGCGACCTAAATTTAGAAACCTGGCGTGGAGTACCAATGACCAAAAGTTCTGTTTTGTTATCATTTAACATCAACTTGTTTTGCAACATCCAAATCTTAATATAAACAACACATGATTCTAATTCAGAAATACAATGATCTTCAGCCGGTGTGTTAGGACAGAAAGATAGGTATAGTTGGGTGTCGTCTGCGTAGCAGTGACAACTAATACTAGGAAACTCTGTATGGATATTTGTAAGGAGTCTGCTTGTATACAAGGTAAACAACAGAGGGCCTAATCGCGACCCTTGAGGAACGCCAAAAGGCACATTGAATACATCAGAGACAACGTTATCAATTTCAATTTCCTGTTTTCTATCTGACAAGTAGGATTCAATCCATTCGATAACCTTGCCATCAACCCTAAAATGGCTTCTTAGAGTTTTCAGTAAAAATGAGTGATCTATTGTGTCGAAAGCACTGCTCATATCAAGGAGAAGCAGCAGACTTATTTTCTGGTTGTCCATTGACATAAGAAGATCACTTTTTATCCTAAGAAGTGCTGTTTCAGTACTGTGAAATTTTCGGTATGCTGATTGATTGAGCGGCAACAGTGAATGATGTTCAATGTGCTCAAGAATCTGTTGGGTAGCAGCACCTTCTACCAACTTAGAAATGTACTGAAGATTACTAATGGGCCTTAAATTACTCAATTCTGTTTCGAGGCCTGGCTTTTTCAATAGTGGTTTCACTAGAGCGACCTTCCACAATGCAGGGAATTGCCCTGCTGATAGAGACAAGTTCAACATAGAAGTAATAACAGGTATCAATTCATCGAGACATTGCAGCAATATTTTTGTGGGCATTGGGTCCAATGGACAGGACTTCTTCCTGAGCTTCATTATCAATTTTCCGACGTCTTGTTCGGACAGTGATTTAAAACTTGTCAGCGTCACTATCTGCGAATCGACTGGAACGTCATCATTGATCAGTTTGTCTATGTGTACATTGCCAAGTTTTAAATCTATATCGTTATGAATTTTCTGAACTTTATCCAAGAAAAACTTGCCCAAGTTGTTGACAAATGATTTTGAATCAACGTTACAAGGTACAATGGGTTGTTTATTTGACATGTTTAGCAAACCCTTTACAATATTGAACAACGCTTTTGTGTTTTCTTTATGTTCAGACACTAAATCTTTATGGTGACTCTTCCGTGCCTCATACAATGAAAAGGAGTAAGAGTTACGAATTGACTTAAATGCTTTCCAGTCTTTGTCTGTTTTTGATTTCATCCAAATTTGTTCAGCTTTCCTCTTTTTTCTCTTTTCTTCTAATATACTATCGGTCAACCATGGCGCCTTAGGTCGCAAAACAAAAGTTTTTGTTGCCTTTGGCGCATGCTTGTCTAAGAGGTCATTGAGAGTTGTGTCATATAACATCGCTAATTCAGTGACATCACTGGGTGTTCCATCACAAAGACGACTTTCAGTTAAGTCTTTTCTAAGTAACTCAGTATTGATTGCAGATAGTCTGCGAAATGAAACCTCTTTAACAGGAAGGCGAGGTTTACTTGAATTAAGGTAACACATTACAGGGATGTGATCAGAGATTAAAGATGAATGTGCCTGAGGTTTTCCAATGACAATGTTATCATCAGATTGCCGTCTTATTAACAGATCAAGAGTGTGGCCGTGTGTGTGGGTACAAAAATCAACTAGCTGTGTACAACACAGAGACTCAAGAAGATTTAGGAAAGACTGTGAGTCTCCACTAGAACTATCAACATGTATGTTGAAATCTCCAACTATTAATAAAGGAACATTGGACAATAAATGACTTTGAATATAATCATTGAATTCTGATAGAAAACATGATACAGATACAGGATGTAATGCAGAGTAAGGCGGTCTATATATATTAATGACACATAACTGATAGGATTTACATGAAATTTGGTACTCTGCATACTCGAAAGAGTTATGCTCACCAGCTGTGGCTTGAAGAGCATTGATGGTATCTCTGTAGACAAGTCCAGTTCCCCCTCCACGGCGGATACTACGAGGATGATGAACTAATTTATAGCCAGAAGGAACAAATTCATTTAGAACTGTAGAGTCATTGTCCGTTAGCCAGGTTTCTGTCATTGTAATAAGATCAGCATTACTGTCGCAGATGAAGTCGTGGATCAGGGCTGATTTATTGCGCACTGAGCGAACGTTCATGGAACAAAGTAACATGTTTGGAGATGATGATGATGATGATGATGATCTTGACACTTTTGATTGTCGGAGACAGTTTCTTCTGCGGCTACCGCGCCTACCTCTCCTTGTCTTTCTTCGTTGTATTCCAAAAGAATGGATGACATCGCGAACGTCGGACGACAGTCGAAGCTTTGTAGATCTCCACTGTAACAGTTCCCCTGGAGAGTAGTGAATTCTACGCTGAAGGGGAGGGTCACGATGAATGGCAAAAGATGGTACAGTGCCATCTTGATCCCGATCTGGTCCGGGGTTGGGATGTACATCACCCGCATGCAGTAGCTCTAGTTGGAAAGATGCTGTACTATTCGGGTTGTATGGAATTCTCGTTTTAAGATATTGTTTTCTAATGAAGTTTTCATTAATTGACAGTTTAATGAAGGATTGCTCACTGCAGTACACATTCCTGTTTAAAGTAGCATACAGGCAGAGTGTGAACACAAGTCCAAGTTGAAACGGTCCCATTGTGCTTGGTAGTGAATCCAGTGATTCATGTTCGTCCAGGCATACAATACATAATGATACCAGGGTACTTTTACTTACATAGAGAGTGTACATTGAAAATGGCTTCTTAGCTGGTACTACTACACATGAATCCAAAAAATGTTGTCATCAAAATATGGTGTGAAATCACATAACTATCGAATACAATTCGACTAGTGGTATCCAAAAGGCATATATAAATTACTGGTAACAACACAAATTGATATAACAAAGTAAATACAGGCAAATAAGAGCTCTTTTGGAGAGCAAGCAAAAAGCATGTGCAACATGCTTATGCGCTCATCTAATCTTATTGAAATGTTGGAGCAAATAATGCCATACGATGGATCAGTGGTAGAGTAATGGTCTCGTAACGGAGGGGGGGGGGGTCAGGGTTGGACAGGGTTAGCTGACATGATTATTTTACCGTATATCACTGATATAAAAGGGCCTTGGCTTTGGGGTGGACTAGTGAGGGCCAAAAGATAGTTGGGCCATTATCACATCTAATTTTCAAACATGCAAAAGAAAAGGAGAATACCTGAAGAAGAACTTAAAAAACATGCCCAGTCGTTGTTTCTTTTCACCAGATTTTGCTTAATAATTCTCTTTGTATATAATTTCTATGATGTGAATTCTATAAACTAATAGTTTTCCATCTTTAGAAACTGTATGTAGTTTGTTAGTGTTGATTTAACATTTGTTAAAGTTTCAGAACGCTGTGTTTATAAAACTTCACGTCTACATCGAATCCTTTGTTTTATAGTAATAATAATAGTTGTAGTATTCACATATGTATCGCATTTAATACTACGATTCTACATGCATTATGCATTGTACATTTATTACCCCTGTCATTGGATTCATTTGCTTACCCGCACATGATAATTCACACGCAAAATTCCCTGGGAAGTGTTTCCCCTTTCCCCTGTTTTTACCCCTGTTCTTCATTTTGTTCTCATTCCTGCAGCTTTTCCACAGAACCTGACGTTCGTTAGAAATTATACCTTTCGGTTTATAGACTTGAATGGCTTCACGACCAGCCTGAGAATAACCCTAAATTCCAAGGAGAAGACCTTTATCTGGGTACCATGCCTGGAAATAAAAGGATGGTTCCAAGAACCTGACGATGACAATTTGAGTGTAGAATTAGACAAGACCAACTGCAGCACGATTACAGTGTTTTCCTCTGCGAACATCATCGTTCACGGGATAGTCGAAAGTGGGGGGGCCATCACTGGAGGTTTTCTCGCTCTTCCAAACGACTATCTCGGCAAAGAATACCTGATAGATGTCTACACACCAGAAATAGGTACTTCCCCCCAAGCCGCAATAACGGCCATTAACGACAATACGAACGTGACGATCGATTGTGTTAGTTCTAATTGCACCATAGATGGAAATGTTTCTGGAAATATTATTCTAAATACGAATGACTCAGTCCTGTTGCAAACAGAATCACCAACAACCCTAACTGGAACACTGGTCCGCGCTGATAAACCAATATCGGTTGTTGTTGGATCGATAAAAGTAAGAATACCGATGACGGGGGAAGAACACGGCGTCATCATAGAACAATTGATTCCTGTCTCAAAGTGGGGGCGTGTTCATTTTGTCCCACCCTTCCAGAGTGCAACAAACGGGTGGGTAATCCGCGTTTCGGCGTTTTACCAAAACACCAACGTAACCCTGTCACAATGCGGAAACGATACTTTACAACACGAGATGCTTAGCAGGCAAAAATATATTGACATCGAAGTCGCTGAAAACATGAACAATTACGTTTGCATGATAATCTCAGATATGCCGGTCCAGGTTATGCAGTACATGGAAAGTTCTTCAAGGGATCAATACGGTGATCCTAGTATGATATTGATTCCACCAACGCAAGATTTTCATGGGAATACCACATTGCGCGTTGAAAATGGTAATGATATTTTGCAATATGTAGATTTCATCACCACGGAGAGCGGGAAAGATAGTCTGAAATTGAACGGAAATGCAGTCAGTAATCTCACTGGATACTGCTTCAATCTTACCGAAGATTTGCAGGAGATTGTAGACTATGGCCACTCGCCGGTCCAAGGTTATTGCTACTTTTATAAAAAGTTGACAAATGGAGTGTACTATGTGACGCAAAGCGACCAATCAGAGAAGTTCCTTGTTCGACTTTACGCGCAAACATTTGCAGTTGGGGGAGCAATGCTGGCAGATTTGTCATTTCAAGAACCTGAAATGCTAAACATTACTGCAGGTAATTACATTCTTAACTTCAATTCTTGTACATAATTGGAATTAAAAAAAAGCAATTGGGAATAGGTTGTAGATCTGATATGAGAGGGCCCTCTCAGCCTTGCCCCAACTAAAAGTAATAAAATAGGTAGAAAATACCAATATTTATATTAATGATATCAAGATCAGTTTCAGTACTGTTTTACATCTGTCAAAACCCATTGTAACAAATGCTGTCAAAAGTTATTACAGTCATTACAATAATCACATTTTATTGAAATAATCAAGGTAAAACTGAATTGGAAGGAATAAGAAACACAATTATTAAATCATAAAGTGACTTCCCTATGTTTTCAATAACAATTACATACATATGATTATACTGGAGGACAAAGCCCTATACGTAAATTTAGATTATTATAAATAATGTAATATGCGTGACATACAAAGGATAACGAGAAGTAATCCCTGGTATGCATCTGATAAATGTCTGAATGGATGCTCCGATATTGCCTAGCCATTTCGTCCAATTCTTTACATGGCTCTTCCTCTTGCATTTGGAGATCATTATTTCATGAGGAATCGCGTTTTTTTTAAAGGTCCTACCACGGCCACTGATACCACCTTAGCAGCCACAACGGAGATGTCAGATGCGGAAAAGCAAAGGTCCCTGGTAAGTTGAAACACTACTTTGAACACGTGTATTATTTGCCTATTCGTAGGCCTGTAAAAAGTCCGGTGTGTAAAGTCAACGGGTCTATCTTTTTTCTTTTGTTAAAAGAGCCTTTTTCAGCACCCCCCCCCCGCCCTTCAGCAAAAGTCCGGTGTTTAAAGTCAATACCGGTAGACCTTTTTCTTTTGTTACGAGCCGGAGAGTTTGGGAACACGCATGGTATCCCTCCGGGTTACAGGCCGTCCGGGGCCTGTAAACGTTTTACATAATAATAATCTTCCTTCGCCACATTTTATTTATCACGGGATAGATAGAGTATTCAACTGTGTCCAATGCATGGGTAATCTATATCGGTGTTATAATGGTTATCAAGGAGCTATTCAGTCAAGACCGGAAGTGGAAAATGTTGTAAAACCACTGTGTTGAACAAAGCAATCCTTCCGTCATTTGGTTCCTAGTGTTTTGTGGACAATTTCAAGCGAGCGACAGTGCATATCGTGAGGCGAAGAAAGCAACCGAAGCTGCACACGATGCGTCAATTACTGACGTAACGCTGCGTCACCGACTGGTGAAGTCATTAGTGACTTTTAGATTGAATGGACGAGAACGGCGTGAACGTCCATTGATCATGCGTGATATTGCAAGCCGTTTTAGCATTCATTTTATTCCTATTTTTTATATCAAAAATTCATTTCTTGATATCGAGAATTACCATTGCTTTACATTACAGAAAACTATTTCTTGATATTCTTGATATCAAGAAATAGGAATAAATGTTTAAAAAACGGCTTGCCATGGACACGCATGATCAGTGGACGATCGCGCCGCTCTCGTCCACTCTATTAGGGACTTTTAGATTTGCACGTCGACAGCTTTGACTGCAACGTGTGACGTCATTTTCAGGCACTGCGCATGCGTCACGTCGTCTCAGTCGGCGATCGAGAATGCGTCACCCTTGATTTTCCTAAATCTAGTACATACATAGATCTACATACATATTGATATTTATATGGCGCTTTACATTCACATGCCGCGTGCGCATAAAATATACAGTTCCTCAGGTAGACATGCTATTGTGTAAAAATGTGTAGAACAGGTGTCACATGCATATTCACCTGTTCTACCCATTTTTACATAATAGCAGTGAAGGGATGTTCTTTTGTCTACCACAGCAACTGTTGAGGGTAGAATGAGGAACTGTATATTTTGTCCTCTTTCTTTGTCCGTCATAACTTCCTGCTTGCATGTATATCGTCGAGTGCAATCTAAAAGATTTATAATTGTAGTCAAAATGGGCAGTTGAGTAAGTTGACACGCATGCTCAGTCGGCGCTCGTCGTGTTCTCGTCCACTCAATCTAAAAGTCCCTATTGACGCGTGCCATGTTTGATTGCCTTCTTACGGGTACTTCCAAATAGGTGATTAACGATTGTATATGTTATGCGTGTATCCTTGTTTATTCTCAATTACTTCAGGTACATGAATACACATGATAGTGGAAAGAGAAAAACATACCATACCTATATACCTTTATCTCATCCTCTATCATTTTGTCTTTCTGGTAGATATATTTCCCACGGAATGGAGATGGTGCACATTCGTTTGCGGGTTAGAAAGCCAGTGACAAGGGAAAATAATACAGCACATTGAATTATTTATGAAATGCATGTAAAGTATTATTATAATCCTGGTTAACACTCTGCCCCCCCCCCCCATTCTCTCCCTCTCTCTCTCTCACACTCTTTCTCTCTCTCTCTCTCTCTCTCTACCCCCTTCTCTTTCCCACTTTTTCCCCATCTCATTCTCTCACAACAGAGCGCTAGACTCCAAGGAGGTTTCCAGAACTACGGTGAGGCTGAGGCAGCCATGTCGGCATTCACCGACTACCTCGGGGATCGGGAAGAACTCGGGTCCGTCGACGATCTGGACTTCGCCTTCGACTACTTCACCCGAGTTCTCAAACACAAGCCGTTGGAGCACGCCACGGGCGACAACGCCCAGTCATTTCTCAATGTAAGTATATAAACCCAGGGAAGTATAAGACTTGGCCCGTTTTCTACTTTCTCAGTTAAACCAGACCCTGTGCCTGAAACCACGTTGAACCAAAGTCCAACTTACACATCAGACTAACTTCCTTTACTCAACCCGATTTTTAACGGAAGCCTCAACCCAGATCCGGGTCGAAATTATAGTCGAATGTGGGCCATGGGGTTTGCCGATTAAATAAGGTGTGAATTTTCATTATCCCAATATTTATTTTTACAAGATTGGGATTGTGCGACTTCAATGTTTATGGTTTCAGAATAAAGTTAAACTGAGTAGGAAGGGGACACGTAAACAAAATGTTTGTTACGACAGTGACGATCCAATTATGTTTTAAATTATTTTGTATGCCCCGAAATAATCCATTCACATCTCTCTCTCTCTCTATCTCTCTCATTCATTGCCCATCGTCTCTCTCTCTCTCCCCGGTTGTATAAAAAAAAAAATCTTGAATGTACTCATTTCCAGTACACTAGCTTCAAGCTTTGACAAACAAAAAATCAAACTTCCTTTTGAAAGGAAGGAAAAAAGGGGAAATATCCGACCATGAAAAGAGATTTAAAAAATAATATCAAACATACCCTACTACATGTACTTCGAAATAGAGGTTATCCTGGTGATATCCTAGCATGTTTACCTTGAGGATTAGGATCTTTGGACAAACGTTCTGAAGAGGGAGGGTCCTTTGTGATATGACTGAATCATTCGAAGCGATCAAACACTTTGTTTCAGGGCGTGGTAAATATTAACCCATCGCATTACACTTTTACCCAATACCATTACGGGGCGCAATTATTTTTTTATTTCAAACAGAATAAAACAATAATGAAAACAATAAAAAATGTGTGTCAAGACTTTTTTCCAGGTGATATTTCACATGGGAACAATATATATACATCATGCAATCAGTGGCGTAAAGAGGGTCTAGTAGTTTAATAGGGGCACCGGTTTCAAGAGGGGGGAGGGGGAAGCAAAGGAAATATTTGGGTGAATGAATGACGGGACAAGCCTATGGAGTCAATTTATGGTGTGTTAGAAAAATATCGCTTTTGTTAGTTAGCTTTTTGTTTGTTAATATGCTTGTTTTGTGTGTGAATTTGTATATCGATAATTCTCCCCCCCCCCCCTCTCTCTCTCTCTCTTTCGTTCTTTCTCTTTTTTGTTCTCTCTCTCTCTCTCTCTTCTCTCTTTCTCTCTTTTTTTCTCACCCTTTTCCCTCTCTCTCTTTTATTTTGTTATTCGAATGGGAAGGGGGCACGTATCTCCCATGTGCCCCCTGTAACTACGCAAATGGTTACAATAACGGATAGAGGAACAGTAAACGTCTAATAGCGACGTTGGAAAACCAGCTGACCTTGGGTCGTTATGAATCTAAATTACCAAGAGTAATTCTTGATATGACACTATTCCTGATTACACATCGAATTAAAATTCGATTGACCATATGTTTTCTGTCATTCAACCCGAGGGTAAACCCCATATGCACACATACTTAACAAAATATTAGCGTCATATGAGAAAGAAGGGCTTAGGAAATTTAGAATGTGACACTTGTTATTGATTTTTTTTTCTTCTTCTAATTACATTGCCACTGAAGCGTAGCGTCTGACAATTTGCCGATGTGTGATTTACGTTACCCGTAATCCTTCTCATATACGCTTCCTTTATTTTGCAACTTGATGGTTTTGCTTCGCTCGGTAGCGCATGACCAAGATGGAACGTCATCGTACAGACACAGTGGTGCAGTGTTAGAACGCCCATGAATGGGAGGGGGGGGGGGGGGATGAAACGATGAAATGCAAATTAACAAACATAATGATTAGTGGGGGTGGGGTGTGATGGGTGAGTTCTACGTGTCTTCTTTTCTCGGGTCTTTTTCCTTCCTCCCTCTCTCTCTTTTTTTGTTGGTTACTTTTGAATTAAGTTTCAGTTTTAGCGCGGAGGGGAGGGGGCACTTGATACCTGTTCTCCCTCTTGCTATGCCTCTGCATAGACACATAGTGTTTACGATTATGATTGAGCAGGAAACTTATTTCCCTCGAGTGTTACCCGTTTTATGGTCTACATGAAACAGACACGGCGTTACAAATTACAATTAGAGTTGTCCCAGGACATTCTCTTCTTTCTCAATCTCAGACTTTTTTGTTTTATTGTTCATGAACTTAACGCCGCCCCCCCCCCCACCTCATTCATTCCCTCTTCATTTCTTCCCTTTTTCTGCTCCTGCCCATTGCCTAATTCGCATGACCCCGTTTTCATTTCCTAAACCAAAATTTCAGCCTTTCCCTCAACAAGTTATCACATTTACACGCGCACAAAACACACACACACACACGCATATACGCCCAGACTCTTTTCATTTTCCTCTTCTGCAGCCATATGTAATTCATAATGAATTTGTTGTAGTAATGGGTCATCAATTTTACCCGCTAGCAATAATATTCTGTTTCTTTTGTATTTTTATATCGCATTCTGTTTTAAAATTTAATTTATCGTCACTAGCTCTCTTCTGGACCGATGAGCGTTCTCTATGCGGATAAGACTAATCAACTCCTAGCTAAAGCATGTGAATATGGGGTAAGCAATAACATCAGTACTGTAACTTCTAGTAATAAGGGGGCCGTTTCTCGAAACCATCATGAGTCTAATTTCATGGACATCCCATAGAAACGCTTGTTATTTCTATAGCACATATTTCAATGGGATGTCCAAGAAGTTATACTTATGACGGTTTCGAGAAACCTGCCCCTTGTTTGTCCAGGACGTTTTCTACTTCTTTCAATTTTTAGTTGAAAGGATAACAATGAAAGTAATATACGTTATTTTTTCACATGACGTGTATAGAGAATTATTCAAAACAGAAGGTTGGCTTCTTGTGCAAGTTGGAAAGTTTGTGAGCTTTCTTATTCTGTTATATTGATTTGGAAGAATATTATATTAAAATATTAACCCCAAACAAGATTATATTTAAATGTCCCAGTATGACAAGTATGACGACAAATGGCTGAAGGGTTTAGACCTAACATTTCATGCAACATGTCTCCATGGTATGTCTATTCTCATAATCAGTCTATGTTATGTATGTACTCCATGTGCTTTAAAGCGAGATGGAGTAAATTCCTTATTATTGACCTCAAAATCCATTTCATGCCCAGCTCTCCTCCTTCCCGATACTTCAGGATTGCTCGATTGATTCAAAGTTTTCTTTTCCAAAACATTTTATCATTACTTTTACTACGATTCAACAATGCCATTTTTATTGGAATTGGTTGATGTCAGTGAACCGCAGTGTAAAATTTAGCGACAGTATGACGTCACAATTTGTACCCTTGTATTGATGGTATGGGAATTTTGAAGTGATCGTTTGTTCTGGTAGAGCTCAAAAATCTATCACACTTCACTTTTCATGTTCATTTTGTGGAAGTAATGACTGGTGCATTTTGCTCTACTAGACCAATCACGAATGTTCAATTGCTTCAAGAGCTTCGATTGCGAGACCATTCACGTGCTTAATGCAAATTTAATCACATGTTGTGGCCTTGAGGGACTCCTTGAATCTTTTTACGCACACCCTTGAACATGAAATCAATGCTTAAGAGAGCAATCGTCCTTCATGACAAGTGTATCCGCAGGCTCGAGTCCACCGTCGTTTAAAACGCCCTTCAGAAATCTTCGAAAATCTCAGTCTTTGGGGTAAAAAGATCCCTGCATGAACGTGATTTTAACCATTTTAGTTCAGTGCAGTTCAGTAAATTCTACTAAAAAAACAAACGATACCAACTTTCATATAGACCAATCACAAATTATATCAGTATTACAATTTCTTCTGGAGTTTCTCTTTTGTTTAAATTAGTTATTAGACATTTCAAACTTTTAGCAATTTATTCGTCAAATTTTCAAATAATATTACGAAAACAGTCAATCGAAAATGTGACAAATGGCTTGAATAGAAAAAGAAAAGAGAACGTAGACTGTGGCAATTTCCTATTTATTTTGAATAAAGAGATTCAGTAAAACCTAAGATTTGAAATAAATGAGAAAGGTTTCCATTTATCTTATAAACTGATAATCATAGTCCTTCACCCTTTCATAATTCCTCTCTATATGATTCAGCAATGTCACTATCACTGGAAATTGTTGAAGTCAGTGACCCGCAGTGTCATAGTGTGACTTTGACGTCACAAAATGTACCCTTGTTTTGATGATATGGACATTTCAAAGTGACCGCTAGCTATGGTGTCAGATAGCCAAACAAATCTATCACACGTCACCTTTAATTTTCATTTTGTGAAATGACTAGTGGATACGGAAACTAACTTAATGTTTAAAGTTATGAAAAATAATTTTTTTTTAAATACAAATGCGGTAGAAGAGAGTTAGATTTGCCATGTCTAAAGCGTTCAATTAAAGCTAACAAATCAAAGCTTACTACAATAATGGTGATTATAATAATGGTAATAGTGATATTTATATCAATACTAATAATAATAATGATAATAAAATAATATTAGTACTAATAATTTTCCTAGTCCCGTAAATCAAAATAATAAACACACTATTCAACTCACAATACACGTTACTTGTCTCGTGAATCTATATTAAAAGACACTTAGAGAAACAGGGAAGCATTGCTCCTCTATGAAAATGAAATTGAAATATTGACCCAATATCCACCTTTGTACCTCCAGACCGGTCTGAAGTCTACCCCAGAACACGCTCAAAAAGAGCTAGAGGTTCTGATGAATGATGCTGCAGCCCTCATCATAAATGGAGGTACATCTTCGTTTGGCGTTACAACTAAAAATGCAGGTATGTAAAGAGCTGTAGTCAGATACAATGAAACCTGTCTATAAAGACCACCCAAGGGAGACAAGAAAAGTGGTCTTTGAAGGCATGGGGTCTTTATGTACAGGTTCCTTTAGTACATGTTTCAATGAAAAATCTTTTTCAAGGGAAACACAAAATGTGATCTTTGTACACAGGTGGTCACTAAACTGTACTGTACAACGTCGGACAACCGGCAACATGCAAACACTTCGAAAACAGCGAATCTCACACATTGAATGGAGAGTTGTCATAGTGTTTGCAAAAGACATGGAAAAATGATTGCTCAGTCGAAAAGCTATATTCCTTTTTTTTTCTCGAAAGAAACATGGCTTAAGGTACATTTATTTCATATTTTGCCTCTTGAAATGTAACAGACAACAGGCAAAAACATCGCTGTTTCGCGCACAATAAATGGAAAAACGTCATAATGTATGCAAAAGAAATGGAAAACTATTGCTTTGTCAACAAGCTATATTGATATATTTTTGTTTTTGAAAAAATAAGGCTTTGTGTACATTCATTTCATATTTTGCCTTTTGAAACGTAACCGACAAAGGGCTTGTTTTCTCTCAGTTTCATGTTATCTTATCATCCTTCCACAGCGGTCGCTGTTTCATCCACCCGGTCCGCAACTTCATCAGCAGTCGCCACTGAATCTTCTGTGTGTGGCGGCGCCCTAGACCTGAATCTGGAGGGCGTGCATATTCCATGCGAGGTTATTAAGGAGCTCGATTCCCGCGCTTCGTACCTTATCAACCTTCCCCATGGAGCGGAGGCTGTGTCGAGATCATCCTGCAAATATGACGAGAATGAGTAATGATGATTTATATTTTATCCCCCCCCCCCCTCCTCCGATTCCAGTTTTATCTAGCATACCAGAATGACAAAAGAACTGCCTCGACTATACTTAGGAATATATTTATAAACAAATAAAGTCTGACGATTCCGGAGAAGGGGATTACTAAATTAAAGATAAACCATTTCATCGATAAGTGTTGTGTTTATCTTTAACATTATTTATAATTAATGATATATATTAATTCTAGAACTGTTTATTTTCAGATATTGGACTTCAAACTGTGTTACTGCTGTGGTACAAATCCACTGTTGAACCAGACTTGGTTCAGTAACCCGTTCATGTTTATCTCTGTTACTGACCCCCCCCCCCTCCCTTTCCTCTCGTGCTATCTCTCTCTCTCTCTCTCTTATTCTCTGTTATTCTCTCTTACCCAATTCTCCTTCCAGAACCATTGTCTCCTCGCCTCTTCTAGGTGTGGGCCTTATATCGGAGAGGTCGAAACAGAATTTTAGCAGCAACATTACGTTGACATTCCTCACAACCGCTGACAAGGTGCGTAACAACCTTTTAAAAATGGTCTGTATTCTAATAAAATACTCAAACGGTGCAGTTATTAAAAGATCGAATTCTTCTCGCACTGAAGACGGTATCAAATTGATTTATTCTTTGTAAACAAATCCATGTAGAAAATCTTCATGAATTCTATGAATAAATTGTTTTTAAAACATGAATCTACATATAAAATGGTTGCAAATACTTTCGAAAAACCCCGATGAGTTAATTTCAGTAGCCTTCTGCGTCAGCTGTGGACGTTTATGAACATGGGAATGAAATGTATTATAGTATGTTAAAATTGCTATGAGTTGATTTTTCGAAAATATTGCGTTCGCACTATGTATATGTGGTAAAGAAGATCAATGAAATTGTATGACTATATGACATGTAAATGACTCGAAATAAATGTTGAAAGTTGTACTTTAAATGGCATGACAGCGGGTATGTCGATTCTTTTCAATTTCCATTAGTGCAGTTTACATTCCTATAAAAATGAAGAAAACAAAAATCTACTACAATTACGTGATATCATTTGTTTTTAAACAAGTTCAGTATGCTAAAGTTAGCAATTTTTACTTCTATATTCGGTTTGTCTGGATTAATGCATTCTTATTGCATTTCGTCATCATTTCCCTCATTTATGAATTAATTTACATCTACAGACGGAACCCACGTACAATAACACTCTTTGTTCGTATTGGGATAACGATGCTAGGTAAGTTATTTGGTCACCCATTTCACTTGGTTTTCGTTTAAAACTTTGAACGCAATCATAATTACTAACGACCTTTAACTCTTATCCTGCCACAGGGCTAATCCCCATTGTGCCAAGCCACAAATCCCCCAGTGCCAAATTTATAACGAGATAATTGGATTAACGCGATGGTACTACCAATAGCGCGTGCAAAACACTAGGCACAGTCCAATGGGCAATCATGCAAGAAGCAGAGTAACAGTAGCTTGCTCGTGTGTACAAAGCAATATAACAATAGCGTGCATGCAGCCTTATGGCAGGCTATATAAGGGCAAGTTTAATGCCGAACCATTACCTTGACATCCCATGTGATAGGCATGCATGCGTGCAGTATATTGATATTGTTATTATTATCCTTTTAGTTTAATATCACCGCTATTGTGCGAAAACAGAGAGAAATACATAAGTCCAGGCTGCATGTTTTAAGAAACTGTACAGGACAACATAAATTATACAAAGTAAAACATATTAAATACCATACTGCAATAAAACATAAAATATATACAAAAAAGTACTTTGGAACAAATTGGAACACAATGAGCGTTAGCTGGTTTGAAATAAACATTTTCATCTTTATAAGGTCAGTTCAAAATTATCAGATTGCACAATTTAAATTAATGTTATTGTTGATTACATCTTTTAGGAACTGGTCAACTTCGGGTTGCTACCTAGGAGATATTAACGTCACGGATAACGGCACAATGGTCACGTGCCTATGTGATCACCTGACAAGCTTTGCTGTACTGCTGGATGTTTCTGGTACAGACGTGAGTCCGAAGAAAAATAATTAAATTGTTTTTCCCCCTTTGAGAAAAAAAATGAAGAACAACATTTCTTAAAGCCCTTTTAGACCCTCGTTTACAGAGATTAATGATATACATGTATAATGTTGCATATCAAATCAAATCCACTTTGCAGAAGACTTTTTAGTAGTATAATACCAACGGTATATCTTTTAAACGATATTCTGTTAGTACGTAAATGTATGCGAAATGCAAGTCAAACCTGAAATAAATATCAAATGCAAGCACTGACGTCACATTATCATCACCGTGGTTGACCAAAGAAGCCAACTAAATAATCTATGCGAATCTCATATTGGCAATTTGGTCCGTGGGATGTCACGTAGCCTTGTACAACTTTCTCGTTTGTCATGGACAAAAATATGCTTAATTTAAGTTTAAGTACCTTTTCTTTTGGAGCAGTACTTGAATTCATCATGGATAGCCTAAAAGGCCATCTATAAAGAAAAGACCCTACCTTGTCAAACATTTAAATTAAACAAAAAATACTTTTCAGTTATTTTTGTGTTAAAACAAACGGGAGATTGCACGGCACTACGTACCAATGACATCACCAATTTAACCAGATTGAAGTGGCCATAAGTATAGCGATTACAACTTTCAAATATTCATATTCATTCAAACATTCATCAGTCTGCTTTCCTGACATTTCTGCTTTATTGTAGAGGTTGGATTTTCCTTTTGCGTCCAACTATTTCAATGTTTTTTAGGAATTGGTTTGTTTTATATTTCCAAAGATATTGCATGCTTTATTACGGGTGTTGTTGATGTTGCTATTTGGTGTTGTTTTGAGCAGGAAATGTATTGGTCACCTCAATAAGGTGCCATCGGGAAGGAAAGTCAATTTAGCGTCTATTCAAGATGACAGACTGAATATTGATAATAACGGACAACCAATATTCGTGTCATTATTCAATCGTATCTAATACAGATTCCACCGCAAGATGAATTCGCCATGGGAATCATCTCCTGGGTCGGATGCAGCCTATCAATCGTTGCCTGCTTCCTGACAATTTTTGGTTACACCTTTCTCAGGTAAGAGATACGAATATGACCCCGCCCCCTTCCCCCATTGAACACGGTTGTAAAGACTTTCAAGAGATCATCTCAATGGCACTGTGTGTATTTTTGAATATCCATTCGGACTACGTAATACGTTGCTACAATGGTCGTTAAATGGTAAATGGGTTTAAAGTGCAAAGTCCAAATTTGTATTTCCATTTTCAAGAAGAAAAGTTCAAATTATAAACGCAAATAAATTACAAACAAAATTTTACAAAGTATACGAAATAAATTAAACAACTGTTATTTTCCTTTGCATAACAAAAAACTTTATTTATATTATTTAAGTTACAAGGAATTATAAGATACTCATATCATACAATCTAATTCAAGAAGAAAATAAGAATGTTGCTGTATATATATATATATATGTGTGTTAATTTGAAAATGGAGCGATCCACTAAAAAGCATGGCTTGTAAAGTGTGGGCAAACTGCTGGGCTAATGAAGCTTCCTTTAAGTTGATTCCTGGGAAATAATAATAGCGATATTAATATTTATACATGTTTCTAAAGGGTGTGATCAATTTTGAACATTTGCCTTTTGTGGGTAGAATAGTCAAGGTATTGGACACCGTTTGGCGCGCACCGAAGTGAATTTCCAGATGATGTTTATGTGTGCAATTCATAATCTACAAGCAAATGAATGTCTTATAAGTATAACACTTTTTTCTGGAAGTTGTTTAATGTATTTTACCCTCATAACAGGTTGGTGTGTGTGTGTGTGCATAAGAGTGTGTGTGTGTGTGTGTGTGCGCGTGCGTGTGCGTGAGTCCCTTGTCCCTAATTGTAATCCTCCTTTATCATCCATTTCTCCAGACTCCACAGTGATCTTATCCTGATACATGGTAACCTAGCCTTGTCTGTAGGGTTAGCTGAGATCGTGTTCCTGTGTCTCAATCTCGTAAAGCATCCATCGGTGAGTCTCCAAGCCCTATCAGGTTTTAAAGATCTTCCACGAAAAAAATGAAAATGCCATGTCATCTTCTTGATCATGTTGATCATGTTATGTAATGGTCTCAGTTTACCTTCACTATGGTCTGTATTTTACTAATCCATCTTAACCTGCGGTCTAAGTTTGTAATCGTTAAACGTGATCGTAGGCCAAGTCCGCTCCAAAAATAACTTGCTTTCAATAGAAGTAGAAAAATCAGACAAACCAATCACATAACAACAATTTAGTAAAATCGAATAGCTAATATGAATGTTATGGATTTTTGAAAAAGTATGACAAAGTATGGAACAATGGAAGTCACTACACAAATTGCCAATTTGGTTATCAGTTTGTGACGTCATCGCCTCACTATTTATCAGTTGCTTTATATATTTGTATCCATTATTTTCCCTTGTTATCCCCTAAAACTTTTTTCCCTATGCGTTTGCCCAGGTTATATACATTGTATCATATTGCGTGCATAATCTTTTAATGAATTTTGAAGAAATTGTACATTTTTCTGAATATTATATATTCTTAATAATTGATTCTTATATATTATATAGTTAATCAAAAATTGAAATTTTCATGATTTAACTGAAAAAAATAACGCTGTATTAGTGCATCCACACTAAAACATATTACTCTCATAACTTGGATGTTGGTGTCAGGAAACAAGATTATTAGGGGGGAAATGGGAAATTTGTATTTTCCCCGTCGGTAGAGTAGTGGTCTCGTAATCCGGTGACCCAGGTTCGAAACCAAGTCGATGCGCTAGTGCCCTTTGGTAAGGCATTAATCCTCATTACCAGGTTCCTCGGAGAAGACCTAAAGCCGTTGGCCGTCTGGTTGCTTTTACTAACAAGCATTTATGCTTTCTTAGCAGTCAGGTAAAACATCCATCACCACAAACTTCAATATAAAGAAAACAATTAGTTGATAGTGAGGCAATGACGTTACAGACTCATGAGTGAGTTGCTAATTTGTCTTTTGATTTTCAAAGTTTGTCATATCATAAAGAATTCATAACTTTCTTATTAGTAATCTGATTTTGCTCAAACTTTTTATGATTAATTTTTCTGATTTTTCTGCTTCTATTATAAGTCAATTTTTTTTGGAGTAGACTTGGTCTTTAAAGAGATATAGTAGTTGGCTCTCATGGGAAAGTGTTATCAATCACCAGGATTAGCCTTAAGTTTTATGACCGACAGGCTTCTGCATTTTCCTTCAATATTATGTTTGTTATCCTTAATAATATGATTTGAATTATGATGTGTATACGGTGCGAGATAGCAGAAATTATCACCGAACTTTTTCAAAGTCACACAAGTTTATGTCTGACACAGACTAATTGCAACCATTTAAAGCCCCCCCCCCCTCCTGTAGTACTTGTAGCTACATGCTCACTCTATATAGAAAACGCTGCCTAAGCGGTGCCTGTTGCCCCCCCCCCCTCCCATGATCCTCTTTTTGTTATGTTAATTGAGAGCTGAGTTGATGAGACAGCCACCTGTCAGTGACCACACTGGGTGGTCTGATCCCTCCCGGCCAAACTAGTACAAACGGGCTTTAAGTAATAAAACTTGCACTTTATCATTTAAAGAGAGCTTCGACTTTAATACAGGCAAGGACAAGTATGATTTATTTCAGAATGGTTTCTAAAGTCATACATTTTGTTCGAATGTCGCAGTTGTCATAAATATTATTATCGTTTTTATTAATTTTTGTCTAAACTCTTCCCCCCTCAGATACCATGTACTGTCGTGGGTGCTTTGCTTTATTATCAACTGTTGGTGATGTTTGCCTGGATGGCCATAGAAGGCATACATCTCTATCTGCTGACCTTTGTAGTATGGAACGCTGAACGGCGCAAATTCAAGTACTATATGGCATGCGGATGGGGTAAGCAAATACCGTTTTGAAGAAAAAACAATTAAGCAATGAATTATATTTCTATATTAAGCGTAATATCCATCACATGCCGCTACCCTAAGTCTACTGTGTATCTACATCACCATGCAAGCAGATACGTATATTAAAGCAGCATCTAGGGGAAAAGTGTTTTGATGTATTTTTATATCAATTTAATTATTTTTGTTCTGTTAACCATTCAGAGTCAGTTTATAGTTGGTGTCCGTGCAAATGGGATATTTAGGATAGGAAATAAAGTTACCTCATCCTGGCTAAAATGTGGCTAAGTTTAATGTAGTTTTACTATTTTCAAGCTTTTAAAGTACATATTTTACAACAAAACCTTTACTCTGTTCACCGTTCTGATCTTTCGAAAAAGCATAGTCTTTCTAGTATTTGCCAATAATTAAACATCTATAAAATGACTTTTTTGTTAACATCTTGGTAATTCTTCAATTTTTCCTACAGGAATACCGGCTGTCTTTTTAATTGTGCTTCTATCCGTGTATCATGATGATTTAGAAAGAGGGATAGCGTAAGTACATTTTTTCCTCAGATTTTAAGCTTGGGTTGTTTTTTATCAAAAAGTATACGGATTTGAATCAAGAATCAATTATTTAGCATACTGTACCTGTTATTTTGAAGACTACGGACGTTAAAATGTGCTACTTCCATGCCCTTTGCTCTGAGGCAAACAAATATTATACATAAATCGTTATCCCGAAGAGGATCGTTTCCACAAGTTTGATGTACAAAGGGGTATTTGAGTTTTGCTGCCGAGGGTGCTTCACAAAATAACTTTTGTTGTAAGATAACGAAAAATTGAGTGTCAAATTTGAAACAATATACAATTTAAATGACGAAATAATCTTTGTTTGATCAAAATCGGTTCAGAGACGGCTGAAATATCCATAAATATATAACCATTTCTAATATTTGTGGTGCCCCCCAAAAAAATATTCGGTAATTTTGAACCAGCTGTTGAAAAACGAAATAGCGCCTCATACGTTTTATTCCAGCTAATGCCGATAGTGGCTCTTTGTTGGCTTTTTCAACAATGGCGTCTTCCGTTTCGCCGGAAAGATTGGACCCGAGTTGGTCAAGGCAAACACTTGAGAAATTAATGGAGACGAATGACTAGACGAAATGTTACCGATGTAAACGGTCGTCGACCCATACTTGTCTGTTTTTGGACTAAATCCAGTAAAGATTCAATGATGCCATCCCTAATTCTGCATTTTCCCTATTTTTCTTTTTATAGTACAAGCTGTTTCCTGGGTCTTGAATCCGGTTCTAATGGGAACTACAGCGATCCTGATGGGAACCTAAGTCTGCTTTTCTTCATGATACCGGTCGCCATTGTGATTGTTTTTAACCTCTTTGTGATGATACGGGTTGTTCTACAAATTGCGAAAATGGCGGACGGGCCTACGCTACAAAGTGACGTCAAGTCTAGAGTGAGGTGAGTACAATATTGCAGTTTTTAAGAAATCAACTTGTAGTATGTGTGTTTGTTATTGGGTTTTATACAGACGCGTATCAATCAGATATGAATATTTACGTCTGGGGACCGACCTTTAAAGTCACCATCCGATAGACGTATTTCAGTATCAAACCTGCGTCCTCGGCCGGATTACAGGCGCACGCCACAACGCCCCGATTTTTAAAACATTTTTGTATCGCTTGTAGGGGGATTCTTTGAGATCGTATTTAAACTAAAATGGCAAAAGTCAAACGTATTTACCCATTTCTTCCTGCTGTATCCGTTGCATTACCTAATAGAATGATAATGGACACAGTACTGCATACCAAAGGTATCCATTTCTTCTTATCCAAGCTATAGTAGGGAAATAAATTCTTAAGATGCCGTCCTTCAGGTATTTGTTCAATACCGTTGGTGCGAACTGACAAAAAGGGAATACTTTAAAACAAAAGGAAATCATTATACAATGGCGTATTATAAAATACTGTTGACAAAATTAATAATATATCTTATCACAATGATGAAACCATTACGATAGTTCTTAATCTATGAGGCTAATGTACAGTTGGTAGAGGTGAATTATCAAATATCAAAAGTGATGTTACGTCGCAAAAATATATTGAATAGCATCCTTGTTTCTCTCATCTTTTCTTCTTGTTAATCGTCCCTTGTATTTCTCCCTGCATTACCTATCTACCTGTCATTCTGTTTGTATATCTGTTCCCATTTCTCTTGCTTTTTCTCTCTCTTATCTATCTTTTCTATTTCATTTTCTTTTTATATATTTTTACCCGCTTCTTTCACTTCTCTCTCTCCTTTACTCATTGACTGCCATCCATAAATTGTCTACCCTTTTTTGTATCCCCTTCTCTATCTCGAACACAGACATGGTGCGAAGGCGATTTTGATTCTTCTTCCCATCATGGGCTTGACGTGGGCCTTTGCCTTCTTGGCCATCGAGAGGGCGTCTGTCGCTTTCCAGTATATCTTTGTCCTTTTAAATTCCTTCCAAGGGGTCTTTATATTTCTCGTCCACTTTGTACGGAATTCTGAGGTAAGCAAATCTGGCATGACAAGAAAATACAAATGTTCCGTTGAAAATATCAAGTTGATGCGATGCAAACTCACGACAGGAATTTCTAATAAATCAAACCAAAGTCGTAGAATTTCATCAGCTTTGTCCAACACCTTTCAACAAGCATGAACATGACACTGACATATTACATGATCCGAACTTAAGTTCTGTGAATACAGTGGGATATTTATAATGCTTTTACAATGACTTCGAGTGTCTGCCATGTTGTTTGGTGGAAGCCCCAACAAATATTGAAATGAAAGTGTTATATAACTAAATTACGATCGAATGAAGCTATTGCATCATAGAATATGTTCTTAGTTTCATCATGTTGATCTCCGTTTGGTTTTGTTTACATATCACTGTTTCTTCTCCCGGTTTCTTAAATGATTGCAATAGTTTCCACACACCACCGTTCCTTGCAATTATTCAGCGTACTCTTGTAGTGTTCTCCCACCGTAGGGCTCAATATTCTCTTTCAATTTTCTGTTCTAATATCTTCTACATTTTCCTTTCAAGACACTGTCATGTCATGTACATGTTGTGAGTAAAGTATTTACGTCATCATTTTTCGTTCTTCAGGTACGGCATGCTTTAAAGCGGAAGAGGGAAAGGTGGTTGGTCAGTCAAAGCAGACAGGGTGACTACCGGGTGAAGAATACCAAGAAGACGTCGAGCTCTGCAGTCGACAAGACAAGTTCGTCCATGGCAAAGACACCAGAACAGACCATGACGCTCATGAACATGAACACAGAACCAGTTTTTCCCGTTTGTATTCCGGACGAAAACGATAACTGAAGTTAGATCACAAAAAAGGAAAAACCACGTGGCATACACAAACAGATAAGTCATGCCAGACATCTTGACATTTATGAAAGTTGGTACTAAAGCGATGTTTGTCGGTGTTGATTTAAAAAAATGCAACTATGAGTTCAAAGCATGAACAGGAAAATCATAGTGACAGCTACTGAGAACACGGCATCTTGTCAGATTCATCTTGAATTTCTAGAACGTCACGACTGAAGCCATGTATACTGGTTTAATTACTTCCTGATATTATTGCGACTAAAGTGATTGGAATATTACATGAAGACAACCTTAGCTGTGACTTCTACGGCCATATTTCTACGCCTCAGCAGGCCTGAACGTTCACGCTTAATCTGTGTATAGCGTTTTGCTCCACGACTGAAACAGCAGCTGAAGATGCAGAATTTTAAACGACAACCCAGTCTGAACGCCAGAGGGCCATGTCCATATTAAAGATACCTTGAACCGCAGGAACATGCATGCCATTCTTAAACATTGTACCGGTAAAACTCCTGTGATTGGAATATACAAATACAACCTGTACAAGACAAGTTGTGACAATGAAAAAAGAGGAGAGACACAACTCTTAAAAAACTTTTCCTTTGATAGTTTATCATTTTGATATTCGTGTTGTTCTTTATCATTTACAGGTATTACTAGTGCTTCTGGGACACCTGCCTCCTGGACATCCACCCCGGATAACTATCCCCCGTCAACTACCCCCTAGGGCAACCACTCCTTTAGGACGACTAACCTCAGGACAACTACCACCTAGGACAACTACCCCCGGACAACTACCCCTAGGAAAACTACCCCCAGACAACTATCCAAGGGGGTAGTTGTCTGGGTAGTAGTTGTCCGGGGGTAGTCATCATGGAGGGTAGTTTTCCGGGAGTTGTTGTCCTTGGGGTGGTTTTCCTAGGGGTACTTGTCCTTCGGGGTAGTTGACTAGGTGTTGGTTGTCCCGGGGGGGGGGGTAGTCGTGCTGGAGGGGGTTGCCCCAGGGGATTTGCTGTCCTAGGGGATAGTTGACTGGGGGTTGTTATCCGGGGGTGGATGTCCAGGGGTACGGTTTCCGGATAAGATTAGTTGCATGTCAAGATATTTTGTGATACGTCACAACTGTAATTACTTCTGAATATAATGCCTCTGTGCAATAATTTCGAGGAGAACTCTGATGCCAACTTCACGTTTCCTTACATTTGGTTTCTAACTCTCGATAGCGGATGACTTTCTGGACACCTTTAACCAATTTTTTTATTATAAAGTTTTACATGTTCAATAATCCACTTTGAATTATTAAGATTTTGGCCATTACAAATCAACATTAGATACATTACATGAATAAGTGCTTTTCACATAATGTTGACAGACATATCATACAACACTTTTCGAGATTTAGGGGCAATCGTTGTCATGTTGAATTAATAAACAGTGAAACCTGTCTATAAAGACCACCCAAGGGAGACAAGAAAAGTGGTTTTTAAAGGCAGGTGTTCTTTATGAACAGATGCCTATAGTACATGTTTCAATGAGAAAACATTTTCAAGGGAATCAAGAAATGCGGTCTTTATCGACAGGTGGTCTCTAAGGCAAGTTTGACTGTATTTGTGTTGGTGTAAATAGAGGTTTGTAGGTCGATCGCATTTGTCTGTACTTTCCTTATTGAAAGCTTCATCCAAAAAGGAATTTATTGCTGGCTCTAAGCTAACTGTTTATATGAAGATTCATCCCATCAGGTATCTTTGTACTAGATTTTCAGATATTTTATTGGTAAATTTCTATGATTGAAAATTGATATTGTATGTAAATTAATATGTTTTTTGCTTTTGGACCCCATGGAAGAACAGGACCATTTTGAAAATGGTTCTGAAATGGGCTATCCAACCTTACTTTTTTATCTTTTGAAATGTGCTTTATAACTTGTATGTATATATGGATTTCGGAACTAAATAACAAACAACATTTTCACGGCAGCTCTTAACGATTTCTCCCCCCCCCCCTCTCTCTCTCTTTCACATATGCGTAATGTTTTCAACACACTTTTGTTTTTCTTCAGGAAACAAATGGATTAGAACATACATTATAGAGTAGATAATAATAGCGTAAATATATGTGAATGATTTTCCTACAAGAAAGTAGGTAAAAGGGAACTTTTCCAAAAAAGTGATATGGAAAAACATTTTTGATGGAGAAGATTGTGTAGATCATCTCGACAAAATTACCTTTTCTCTACTTTATTCAGTTAATGCAATCCATTTCTACTCAAAGAGCTAAGAACTTGAAAATGGCGTCCAGCGATAGGCTAAATAAATAACAAATAAATGAATTTGTATAACTTATTGAAAATACGCTTGTGAATGCTTATTTTGTTTATGTATGTGTTCTAGCAATTTGGGATCCATTCATTCAAGCGTCTTCATAATATCTCGAGCAAACATGCGCCGTTGTTCGTGGGTCATCAAAAATAAACCTTAAGGTTTCCCTAACATAAAGTTTAAACTTACGGTGCACTGTAGGCCTAGCCCACACCAAAGTGCGTCACATGGAATCCTTTTTATAAATACTTATCCTGGGAATTTATTTTCAGTGTCTTCATTGCTTTTAGTTTGTTCCTTTCACGATATTGTGTAGGAAACTGAAAGTGTTTACTTTGATATACCAAAAAAATGCTTGATTTCATGTATCGGAAGAAATGTATCAGTTTGCTGTTTCTCATTGTTATTCAATTATAGCTCTTTTAACGATAGCAATGAGTTCTAACCGAAATCTAATTGAAAATCATTAATTGATTAACGATTGCTTGATTAATTGACTTATTTCGTAATGAACTTTGTAAAACGTGTAAGAAATGTTACTTTTATTACTACAAGGAAGACGATAACGTTACTGCTGGTATCCGCTTTAAAATGATAACATCAGTTTCCTGGGTCTAAGATTTACATTGATATCAAATTTGGTTCCTTCTCATAGTAAACCTTTTATTAAATAAAGTTAGTGCCAATTTATTACACTCATGTCTAAGGGCCTCGTTATTACAATTGAGCCAGCACGGTAGCCTAGATTTCGTGAATTTCGGCTTAAACAATCTAAAATAATAATGATGATCATCATCATGATGGTGGTGGTGGTGAAGATGCTGGTGATTATGATAATAGTAATAATAACAATATAACTAATAATGGTATTTACTACTAATATTGCAACTACTGCTAGTACTCCTACTACTACTACTACTACTACTAATACTGCTACTAGTACTATTATTACAACTACTAATACTACTATCATTAATAATAGCTAGACTTTAATTCGTCACTTAGACGAATTAGGTGATACGTATGCTAATGGTTTACATAACGAAGAATGCATTACACAATATATTATTTTATAAAATGCTTCTCTCATTATGATCTATCCATATGTCAAGTTTAAATTGTGTCCCATTGATCATTATGGATCTAGGGAAAATAGATTGAAACAATACATGACCATTGATCCTGTGCAGTAATCAGTTACACCTTTGACTATAATTTACATGATAAAGAACACATTTTGACGATTTTATCTTATTCAAAGAAATGAAAATGTAATTGATAAATGATTATCATCATTATGAGCGTGATCCTGACATCTTATTGAAAAAATGAGGGGTGATTTTGATAGCATATAGTCTCAGCTACAACATACTAAAAAAAAAATCAACAAAATCCAAGCAGAAATAACGGCGATATTGCTCGCAAAAGACAGGAATGTAGAATCCAGGTTTGAGAAAAAGTAATCTCCCATAGGGATTACACGCAAAAAGTAATGGATTAAGTGAAAATAGGGTTATAATAAAGTAAATAGGGTTGTTTATTTCATTATTTGCGATTCTAGGTGTTTTAATAATCAAAGGAGATGGTACAGTGAAAGGTCAAAAAGAAAGAAAAAAGTGAAGAAAAAAATGGTTTGGTCTCGAACCAGGGATCTCGAGGTTGGAAGTCAAGTGCGTTTACCGATATACCAAAACATTTCCCATAGCGAATGCACGTAAACGGGAAATGGAATTCTCAAATCCCACTTCGCAAGTGATATATGAGCATAATCCAGGCATCTGATCGAAAAATAAACGGCACATTTGTGATAGCTTATTGTCTCAGCTACAACATACCCGAAGCTCAGCGAAAACGAAGCTAAAACAACGAAGATATTGCTCACGAAAGACAGGAATGTAGAATCCAGTTTTGAGAAAAAGTCATGTCCCATAGAGAATACACGCAAAATGTGAACTATTGACATGCCTCCTTTAATTGCAAAAATACGCCATGATGACTTTGTCAAAATAAAAAATCGTTATAACTGCATTTGTAGTAATTGTCTCAGCTAGAACATATCAAAATTTGGAAGAAAATCGATCAATATTTACAGAGATACAATCAATTTTCCAAAAATATGCAGACGTCATAATATGCAAATTGAAATTTTGAGTTCGGAGGCCATTATGATGACGTCATGAGTTAATTGAGGGTCAAATGAAATCATATCTCCGACTCATAATTTATCCAAATATGAAGAAAAAAATTGGGGTCACCTTGCATCATTAAGAGCTAGAATGGATTTTGTATAGGCATGTTTTTGACCATGTATGCTATGTATTACAAGAGCACACACACGGACATGTATCTTAAACGGACGCTAATTCCGTTATTACTGATCATAAAAGGTGAACAACGTATCAAAATGCTTGGAAAAATTTGACAAATATGATGACGGAGAAAATTTGGCGATTCTATGTGGCAGAATGCTAGTAGGCGCGTGTGCGCGTTTTTTGCAAAATGCTTAAAATGGCCTGAAACGTATCCAAAATGAAATTGAGACGATTTTGAGTATTTTTACATTTTGCGCGCGCGGACATTGACTTTAATCATGATAAATATGAATGAAAAATGACTTTCCATTATGAAGATATGATCATAAGTTAATTTTCACAAAATGGCCCCTAGATGACGTCACGATAATTTGAGTCACGGAAAAGTCACACAGTTATATTAAGATCTATCATCATGGCAAGTGTCATGACGATGGCTTCATTACTTCTTGAGATATCCTGCGAACAAATTCATGGAAGAATAATAAATAAATGATAAATAAATAGGTGATACGTAGACCTCGTACGTATCACCTAATAATCATCATCATCAAAACGATGCAAATAATAAATGCCTTCGAAAATATAAACCTGATTCCTGTTTGAAATTTGGTGACACTGTGCGGGTTAAGTATCATAAAACAAGCGCATGCGCAAAAAACTCTGAACGACCTCAAGACGGTGTTGCCCTACTTACTGGTAGACCGCCGAGCCTGCCTGTCATATCATGGTCCATGGTCAAATGCAGGCCTATTATGCCTCAGTCACACCTTTGCGTATTGGGCTTGCGTATTGCTGCGTATTGCCCGAACGCAGACATAGGCAGTCATACCCAATAAAGCGCAATGAAACGTGCTCACTGCGTACTCATTACGCAGACTAGCGCAAAGGCATGCGTTTGCCGCTCGCTAGTTTTAAAATTTTCTAAACTATCGCAAGCAAACGCAAGGTCTTATCACCTACGAGCGGATACGAGTGGCAACCAGTGAATGCGAGCAACAGCGAGTGGCTTAGCGCAAGTATACGCAACCATACGCACCTCTTTTCTTTGGAGCGCGTGTCACTGCCTATAGCTGCGTTCCCTGCACGATTTACCTCGCAAGAGCTCGTTGTCGTTCGCATGATTGCGCGTATTGTTGCGCTGTTGCTCGCCTACCACCCGCAGCAGCAAGAACTATTGCAATTGTCGCTCGCTACGCTGCGAGTCTAGCTCGTACGCCGTTCGCTTTCGCCCTTTCTTACTGCGATTAGTTGCCTAGCACCAACCTAGCACCAACCACCGTCGCTGCGCTACATAACGTTAATAAATAAACATAATTCGTCTCTGCTTCTTCCAGCTGAACCAAAAGCTTAATCTTTTGCCAGGCAGAGCTCTGCTCCCGGGCCATTTTTTTTCATTTGATTGATTTTTCTTGTAGATGTAGACTCGTCAGAAGCCCGCAAAATGACTTTTATTTATACGCCGTCGCAGCCCAAGCGAGCTGGTACGCTGTAGAGCGAGCTGGCACGCAGCAGTACGAACAACAGACGAGCTAAAGCGAGCGAACACGCAGTGAGACGCAACGAGACGTACTGGTGCGAGCGACTAGCGAGCAGCAAACGAGCAAAGAACCAGTTACATACGCAACGTGGAGAGCAAACTGCGTATTGAATCGTACTGCTATGAGCAACAGCGAGCTATAGCGTGGTCATAGGCAACCGTAGGCAGTCTTAGTACGAGAGGCATACGAGCTACCTACGAGCTAGATACGCAATAGTGTGACTGCTACCTTCAAGTTTGCCACGTATCGCTGGGAACGGCTGCGAATTGATATACCCGGAACAGCGCAGCAATACGCAGCATCATACGCAAAGGTGTGACTGAGGCATTAAACTCGCTCACACTCAGTCTGTTTGACATTTTGACGCGAACATTGCCAAGAACCGCACGGATGTGCGACATATTTCAGAGCTGATCGGAAAAGTGTTTTCTTATTCATGACTTTTATCCCGCCAGTCCATTCGTGTCTTGTAGTAGAGTGACGTGTGGAATATTTTCGTCACAACGTGATTTTTGTTCTCACTTACTAAGTACTACCGCTCAGACACGATGAATCTTTATACTGCATTTTTCCTTTTCAGTGTAAGTGAATTTGAGCTCATTTCTATTTTGATAGTAATTCTCTCCTTCTTAATATTATTCCTCCTCTTCTTCTTCTTCTACTTCCTCTTCTTCTTCTTTAGGGTGAAAAAGGAGGTTCTCTCTCCATCTTACTTTCAACTCCTCCCACTCACTTTCTCTCTCTCTCTCTCTTTCTCTCTCACTGTTTTGCATACTCTTGCACTCTCTGACATTAATTTCTGTTCCATTTTAATTGGATGAGGGCACAAGAGGAACATGTCCCTATTCGCTACGCCATGGATACGATTCATTTGTATTTGTCTGATTCTGTCATCTGCATTTCGCCACGCTCATTAGGTAGGGCATGGTATTATATTTTCAAACCATATTTTTGTACTAACCAGATACCCTTGCGTAAATTCATGTTGCATGTATGTCGTCTAAAATGTTTCTCTATAGTTAGTACGATGCTACTACTACTACTACTATTACTACTACTACTACTACTACTACTACTACTACTATTACTACCGATACTACTACTACTAATACTACTACTACTCACGGTACTACTGCTACTACCACTACCACTACTACTACCACCACTATTACAACTAC